GAAGCACTACGCAAAAACATTGCGCGAAAACACGACGTAAAAGCATTACGCAGACACACTACGCAAACACATTGCGCGAAGACACTACGCAAACACACTACGCAAATACATTACGAAATACATTACGCAAACATACTGCGCAAATACACTACGCGAATACACTACGCAAAACACTACGCAAATACACTACGCAAATACACCTTACGCAAATACACCTTACGCAAATACATTACGCAGATTCATTTCACCCTTAAGCATAACTCTCCGAGGAGAAGCTTGACCACCTGATTTGACAATCCTCTTGTTTTTCCTCGATTCCGGTTTCTGGGACCCGTTGTCGGGCCCTGTGGCCATCAAATGTCGGATCGAGGGGTCCCCGTTGTGGGCTTTGGGCCCCCGCTGTGGGCCCTGCGACGATTTGACCTTGGAGGAGGGTCAGATCGTCGGATGTCAGGGGGCGACGCTCGGGAGAGGGCTGGTCGAGACAACCGCTGTCCTCTCTCACGTGTTTGATTTCCCTACTGCTGACTTGTGTTCCTGGAGGCTTCTCGTCGCCACGGCTGGATCCGCTGCGAAAAACAGGTCAGGATAGACCATGGGAGAGATCCCAGAATGATTCTGAGCTGATTTGGGCCCGCACATCTCTTCCAGGCGCATGCCTCTGCTGCTTTCGAGCAGGTATCGTAGCATCTCGTCTGTATTCGGCTTACTCCTGATGTAAGCATGAACGAGGGTCGCTGGCAAACACGACCCGTGGTGCTTGCTGGTGCAAGCCGAGGAATTGTTGCTCAGAAAGCCCGTTGTCATGGGGCATCTGCCGCCTCCCTTTGTTCCTGCATCCGACCTTATCTTGTGAAACTACGCTACCAGTTGCAATAGACACTGCCCCCGAGTCGTCGCTCTCGCTCGACAGAGTGGGGAAGGTGTCGCTGCTCGTTGGCGCCGCTGTCGCGCTGCTGGTTTCTGGTTTGTTCTTGTTGCACACGGCTATCCTCATGAGTGGCGCGAGGTGGTTCCAACTATGCTGTTGTACCCGCAAGCCGGGTATCCAGTCACCAGCGATTTCACGGGCGACCAGAGTTTCGACGTGATGCGAGAAAATGTTATGAGGCATTAGTGCAGTAATTTTATTTTGCGTAATTGTGAATGTTTTGCTGGCTACATGGCCCATGCCGCTGCTTATCCGCGCTGGATCACTGCGGGGCAATCGGTTACTGTTGTAATCTACAGATTGTCGAAGACGCCTACCCGCGAAGCGCCACCAACACCTGCCCTTGTGAATCGCCTATGTGGCGAAACGCTGGTCCCAAACCAAGATGGCTCAAGCTGTGCCATTATGTATTGAGTCGGTAGACTACTTGAATTTCCTCCTTCGGCAGTCCGTCCCAATCTCTCTTGCGGCCATTCTTCTTATCTCAATCCGTCCACTGCCCCCGTCTGTTCCCTCGTCCGCGCACATGCTTCGGGCCATGATGCGTCAACCCCCCTCTCCCTGGCCCCTCTCTACGGCGCGCCGAATGTCCTGCCCCGGGCACCCAGGATCGAGGTCTTCTGGCGTGCTTGTCAGATGCTGGTGCTCTGGGGTCGCCCTCGCTACCATGGCTGGAATCTCCATTTGGAGTTTTTGCCAGCAGGGCGCACCCCTGGACAAGTCGGGGGCCGCTGCGTATGGAGGCCCAGGGGGAGTCCCTCCGGCGCCACGAGCAGATGGAGACGGCTAGAGGGGGCAGTTGCGCCCAGCCGCCCATGGCCGCGGGGGCTTCTTCCCCAAGAAGTCGAAGTCTCGGAATCCTCCCCACCTCGAGGCCCCCCCCCCACACACCACTTCGGAAAAACCACGGAACCCTCAGAATGAGATCCCTCCACGCCACCGCCAGCGCCAAGACGTCGCCCGCCGATGCCGCCGCCGCCGCCGCCCCCGTCGTCGCCCGCCCGGGCGCTGCCACCCTCGGGTCGGACGCAAGGGGGGCTTGGCATCGCTCGGACGTGTGTAGTGTTCTCGGCGAGGCCAGCGCCAGAAGATCCTGACCGTCTGGGAGCACCTTCGATCCATCTTGCGAGAAGACAGACAAAAGCACGAGACCGAAGAATGCGCGGGGAATGGACGTCCGACCGATGGCGAGGGGGGACCGGGAAAATGGGGAGGGGAGGGGGGGAAATCTGCTCCGTGCAGCTGGTTCTGGCCCCGGCGCCGGGAAACGCTGGGGTACCACAGCTGCGCGAGCTGAGTCGGCAACCCCCTTTTCCACGACCCCCCCCGCCCCGTCCGACCCGCTCACCGCCTGCCGGGGTGCGCGGATCCACCCGCCGCCGCGGCGCCAGGCGGCGACGACGACGACGACGAGTCCGCCGACAGCTCCTCGGACTCGAACTGAGCCCCCCGTGGGGGGCCGCCCGGGCCGCGGCGGCGAGGCAGCCCGTCGGGCACCCGCCGGTTTCGCCCGCCCCTGGGCACGGCACGGGCGGCGGCGGCCTCAGCGCCTCGGCCGGCGGTCGCGGGCGCCTCGCTGCCGCGGCGGTCTCGGGCGCCTCGCAGCTGCTGCCCGCGGGCACCTCGCGGTCGCCTCGCGGTCGCGGCCGTCGCGGCCGCGGTCGGTCGGCCGGCGGTCGCGGGCGCCTCGCTGCTGCTGCTGCTGCTGCTGCTGCTGCTGCTGCTGCTGCTGCTGCTGCTGCTGCTGCTGCTGCTGCTCCTGCTGCCGGTCCTCCTCTCGGTGGGCCGGCGGCCGCGGTCCCCCCTTCGTACGGTCGGAGTGGGTGCGGAGAGAGTGGGCACGGTGACCGACAGCAGCTCCTGTTCATTCTGAATTGGGCTCGCTGTCGGTTCCGCCGTGGGCGCTGTCCACCTGCAACAGAAGGGCACCTGCCCGACAGCCGCTGTCGGTATTGGACAACATTTGCTGTTGGGCATCGTGCTCTGGGCGTCCGAAGCTCTCCTGCTCTGCCTCCTCTCGATCCCCCCTCCTCCCCGCCCTCCTCCGTCGCGTCCTCCGTCGCGTCCTCCGTGCCCCCCTCGCCCCTCCTGGTCCGTCTCGTTTCCTGTCCTCCTGCTCCTCCTGGTCCAACCCGTCTGCCTTTGCGCGTTATCCTCATATCCTCCTCGTCCTCGTTTTTCCCAACCATCCTGTGGTGCTGGGTCCTCGTTTTGAAGAGACAGCGCCCGCGTCCTCCTTCCTTCTCCTCCCGCTGCCTCCCCTCCTGCTCCTCTTCCTCCTCCTCCTCCTCCTCCTCCTCCTCCTCCTCCTCCTTCTCCTCCTCACCCTCCTTGCCTCTGCCCATTGCAAATCTCTGTTTCGGCGCACCCCTCACAGGGTTCGTGGCCCCATAGGGAGCTCCACCGAAGGCCCCAGTGGCAGCCTTCGCATGCAGTTCCACCCTCATTTCGGCGCACCCCTCACAGGGTTCGTTGCCCCATAGGGAGCTCCACCGAAGGCCCCAATGGCAGCGTTCGCATGCAGTTCCACCCTCATTTCGGCGCACCCCTCAAAAGGTTCGTGGCCCCACAGGGAGCTCCACTGAAGACGGTACTCACAAGTGCGGCTTTCGCAACTGCAGATGTTTGGGTCCTTCGCCAGGCTAACTTGACCTTGCACGGACTTTGATCGGATAATGATCGCAGCGCATGTGTCGTCCATCCTCCTTATCAGCCTCGTGTCCTCCCGTCCGTTGCACGGGCCCTGATCGGATAATGATGATGCTCCTCTTTTTTTTCGTATCCTGACCCACTTTCCCCGAAGACAGGGGGGGTAGCTCGGCGCATCTCGACGCCGCCCCCGCGACCTGCACATATTCCGCTATCTCCCCCACACTTCGGTTTTTCTAGGGTAGCGTCTTTCGTGCTGGCTTAGTGATTTGCAATGCAGCGTGTGTGGGTCGCGCGTGGGTCGCAAGTGGTGCCGGGATGAGAACGATGGGACAATAATAGGAATGGCAACATGGACACAAACCCGCAGAGGAGGAAGAGGAGGAGGGAAAGAGAGGACGACCCTCTAGAACCCCCTTCCTCATCATCCGTCATCCATTCTCCTCCCTCCTCCCTCCTCCCCCCTCCTTCCGGCGACGACGGCGAAGACGACGACCACGATCACGACCGCGGCGACGAGGGCGGCGGCGGCGATCCGCGGCGGCAGCGGCGACGGCGCCCCCGCCGAGGTGGTGGACGGCGCCGGCCGATGCCGCCCTGTAAGCGGCCAAAAAAGACACTGCGAGAGAGCGGGGGGGGAGCGCGGAGGCCCTGTCGCGGGGGTCGGGGGGCTGCTTCCCGGGTGTCCACCGCGCGAGGCGTCGTCCCCGCCGCCTTCGTCGCGGTCTTCGCCGCCGTCGCCGTCTTTGCCGCCGCGGCCGTCGGCGACCAAGTACTGCGCGGAGGTGGAGCAGCGGAGCGGGAGGAGGGGGAGACAGAGGAGAGTGGGGGATCGGGAGGAGGTGGCTTGACTACACGTTGGAGTTTGCCCCCCCCCCCCCCTGAAATCCGCACACCAAAGGTCACTCTTGTCTAGGACCACTCTTACGTAAAGTCGAAGGGGGAAGGAAGTGAGGATCGGTTGTGTGAGAAGACCGCCGAGCGAAAACAAACGGGCCGTCCACACGACGACCTCAGCAGCTGTGCACTTCAGTACGAATACCCGTCCGTATGAAAGAACAGGCAATTCGCATGATAACGAGGAGGAGAAGGATGAGGAGGAGGAGGAGGAGGAGGAGGAGGACACGATCCATATAAGCTTTTTGAAACTTTCCAGGGTGCCCTTGAGAGCTTTCAGGGAGGCTTCGTGGAGGTTCCAGAACACAAGCTTTGGGGAGCTTCCCGAGAGGCTTCTGGGAGATCCCATAAAGGCTTTCAGCTGCTCCCAGAGAGGCTTGTTGGAGCGTCGCGCAGGCGGGGTCGGGCGAAATGGCGCTAGGACGGCGAGAGCTTCTCAGAAGCCCTCCCGCCTTCGACCAGACTGTGACACAAGCACCCCGTCTCTTGAAGGAGCCTCATAACTTCTTTGAAGACCGCCCCGCCCCTCGCCCCACCCCCAGGTGCGCGTCGCTATGTTTTGGGGGGGGGGCACACTGACTTCTGCCAGATCTGGTGCCCCGCAGGGCCCGCAAACCCTCGCGTGTTCCGCTGGCTCTCTCCGAGCCACGCCGACGTCGAGACATTACTCCCTGGCGCAATTGCGCGCCCCAGCATGCTGGGGGGGCATGGCGGTGGTGTTCGCCACGATCGGTTTGGGCGTTGAATTCTGGCGAGTCTTTGCAAGTCGAGTCTTGCGTGACGCACTTCCTCATTTCCTCCTCTGACATCTGGTTCGATTGCGTAGCGGCTTTTCCAGCGACGATCCCGGGCCCTGAGACCTCCGCCATGGCACAGTGGCAGGATCCTGGAGATCATTGGGGAGATCGGTGGCAGGCACCTGAACATTGGCGGCCCCCTGCAGACACTGGAGGCACCGGATGGTCACGCCCCGAGCCTGAAGCGGAGGATGACCACGTTCGCCAAGAGCTTGCCGATGCTCTGGAGTTGCAGAAAAGTGCGGAGCTCGCGTCCACGCAGGCCGCAGTGGAGCTGCTCCAGATGCGTGATTTGGCGACGCAAGAGCAGATTCTGTCTCAGTCTCATTCGACCCTGACCGCAGAGCTGAAAACGTTGAGGGCGCAAGCAGAGCAGTTTGATCCTGAGGGCTGGTGCCACGTCTACCGATCCCTGGGCAGGCGCACTGCTAGGCTTGGAGTGCGCTGGCCTCTCCTCTGGTTCAGCGAGGATCGCGTGCGGTGTGCGCATGAGCATGCCTCGTCCCCTATGCCTGCACATGCGGGCATCCACTCTTGCTGCGGCCTTTTGAGGCGCCACGCCCGAGGACAAAGCCCTGTGAGGGGAGCTGGAGGAGGAGGAGGAGGAGGAGGAGGAGGAGGGAGGGAGGAGGAGGAGGAGGAGGAGGAGGAGGAGGAGGAGGAGAGGAGGAGGAGAGGAGAGAGGAGAGAAGGAGGAGGAGGAGGAGGAGGAGGAGGAGAGGAGGAGGAGGAGGGAGGAGGAGGAGGAGGGAGGAGGAGGAGGAGGAGGAGGAGGAGGAGGAGGAGGAGGAGGAGGAGGAGGAGGAGGAGGAGGAGGAGGGGGAGGAGGAGGAGGAGGAGGAGGAGGAGGAGGAGGAGAGGAGGAGGAGGAGGAGGGAGGAGGAGGAGGACAGAGGAGGAAAGGATCGCGGGGGGCCCGGGGGATCAGCAGGAGCAGCGGGAGGGAACGGAGGAGCGAGGAGAGGTCGTTTCACACGCGAGGCGGCCCCCTCTCGAAGACGAGGGGCCGTCGGAAGCGGCGAATCTGGCGGACAAGGAGTTTTGGGGCGCCCAGATCCAGGACGCGTCCCGGGCGGTCGCGCAGGCGCAGGCCAGGCGGGAGGACCCCCATTGGGGGGGGGGGGGGGGGCATATCCGCAGTCCTCTTCCTCCTCCTCCTCCTCCCTCCCTCCCTCCCTCCCTCTCTCCCTCCATCCCTCCCTCCCTCTCTCCCCTCTCCTCCTCCTCCTCCTCCTCCTCCTCCTCCTCCTCCTCCTCCTCCTTCTCCTGCTCCTCCTCCTCCTCCTCCTCGTCCTCCTCCTCCTCCTCCTCCTCTCCTCCTCCTCCTCCTCCTCCTCCCATCCTCCCACCCCTCCTCCCTCGCCTTCTCCTCTTTCTCCTCCTCCTATCCTACTGCTCCTTTACCTCTTCCCCTCCTCCCTCCTCCTCCCCCTCCTTCTCCTGTTCCTCCTCCGTGTGTGTTCTGTGTTCTGCTGCCCTCATGCTTGGGGGTCCTGGGCTGGGGCTGCTGTAGTGGTTCACCCTTCCAGTAGCCTTCTCGCCGAGAAGTTTTCAAGCATTGCCTGACCTGACTTGACCCGACCTCCTCAATCCCATGTTCCTGTTGATTAACTACTCCCTGTCGCACACCGAGAAGTGCAGGACGGGCCGGGCCGGGCGTTTCGCCTGAGATTTTCTCACCACGTATAAGATTTGATCTTAGAATTTGCACGAGCTTCACGGTTGGAGGGCAGCTCTCTTTGACACAGCGTTTCTCGCTTAAGCGCCGCGCACATTTGTCTTCAGAGTTTGCAGCAGTTTCGAGGTTTCTTACTATTGACATCCCAGGCCCAACAGGATTGCCAGGGCCCAACAGTCACGTTGATTCGTTGTGTGTGGAAGAAGTCCCAGGAGTTCTGGCACGATTCAGGATCGTTATGACACAATAGTAACGTTGATTCGCGGCTTTCGAGTCTCAAAAGTGGTGTTTCTGCCACGATTCAGGATTTTCAGACGGGTGTCTTCCAACGTGGTATTCCCTTCCGTGTAAACGAATATGTACAGGGACCTATGAAGGTGGAACTTGGAGGGAGTGTTTATTGCAACTTCGTTGATGAGCCTTGGGTTTACTCTCGCCCTCCTTATCCTCCTCCTCCCCCCCAGCAGGACGCCAGGGTTCAGCAAACTCCCAGAGTCCCACGATAAGGAAGGACTTTAGGCCATGGTCCGCCCCCGCCGCTGGCGCGCATGGCGTAGACCTGACATCATCGGCAAAATCCTCTCACCCCATACCTCCTTGCCATGCCTTTCGTGCCCCACCCCAGGTGGGGGCGGAGGGAGGGGGGGGGGAACTTTCGAGAACCCTCGGGCCGCTTCCACGGCCCCCCCAAGGGGGCCAAGACGCGGCCTGCGGAGAAGAATGCTGCCCCAGGGGAGTTGGTCGAGAGCGCCGGGGCCTACGTCATGCAGGCCCAAGAAGAATACAACTCGCTCCAGAAGTTTTTCAGAGGGGCTCAGAACGGTCTGGAGCGGCCGTTGCCCCCGAGATCCTTCAGACCCGCCGGCTGCCAGGGATTCCTGGTTTGTCTATGCGTGGTTTTGTCTTCTGCCTCCCTTCGCGAAACACATCGCAACGTCAGAGGTTCGCATTCTGCTTCACCACGCCGTGCAAGACCTCTATCATTGCAAGCGTTCCCTGCAGGAGCTTTCCCTCAGAGTGAAGGCTCTGACCGACAGCGCGTCGCAGGGATCGAAGCAGGTGGACTCTCTGAACCAGAAGGCAGACCAGCCTCTAAAGGGGAAGCTGGGGCCCTTCCTCCTGGGGGTCTCATCTTCAACATCCCTCCCGAGAGGTCGTCGTTACGATGAGTCCCCCCAGTGAGATGTGGAGCACAGCTCCCCCAGTTCTGGCTGGTCGGGAAGGTCAAGCACGAGCACAAAAAGTCCGAAGACGCGAAGAAGCTGCAGGGCAAGTACCAGGAAGTATCGAGTGGCCTTCGGCCCATCCCGCCACCATGCCCGTCTTGGGGCCCTCTGGGGCCCCATACAGTCACGCGACAAGATGCGGGGCATCACAGGGGAACCGCGCCAAGCCCCAATAGATTTCGGAATTTGGGGCCCGGGCCCCTCACAGACTCCTCAGGACTGAGGACCGAGGCTCCAGGGATCAGGCAAGAGACCTGAGGACACGACCTCTCCGTGCCCAGAGGCATAGTGGCGGATTGGCTCAGACGCGAGCGGCGAAGAGTCGGGAAGAAGTTGCGGAGACCCTTGCAAACGCCCTGAAGTCTGACTCATGGGAGAAATCCGGGTCCGAGGGTACGCCCTGTAGTCCGAGCTACGGCAATTTGGAACGACGATCGCCAGAAGACGGCAGCCAGCACGAGCACGTAGATATGGAGAAGTCGGTTGAGGAGGTGAGGCAGAAGCAGAAGGAGCTCCACGAGATCGAGTCTAGACTGGTCTACTGCAGCTCAGAGTCTGCATTCCAATGGAGTGTATCGCGCAACCTGCTCATTTGGTCAATGGTAGCATTGGCGTTCGCAGACTTGTTCTACCGGTTCGTCAGACTTGCGCTACATCCGCCGACCTTTGCCTTCGGACCATCGGACGGATTTTGTGGGTCGCCGCTGGACCCCCCTTCCTTAGGTCCAGCGCCGAACCAAGAAATCAGCACGGACCTCAGGAAATGAATGTTCATCCTTCACGCTGTGCCTACATATCCCCACCAGCTCATTCTGGAACGCTGCCGATGAGAGCTGATCGTCTTGAGGCCCTCTTGGGGTCCTCGTGGGGCTGCCCTCTTGGGGCCACATTGGGGCTCTTTGGGGGGGTCTTGGGGCCCTCTTGGACCTCTCTTGGGTGCCACTTGGGAGCCCTGAAGGGCCTATTAGGGCCATCTTGGAGACCAAGGGGGTTCTTTATCTAGCCCCTCACCCCCATTCCTCCCCCCCACCCCCCTCAAGAGTCTTCTACACTGCCTCTTGGGCCCCTCTCGACGAGTTCTTGGGGCACTCTTGGGGCTGTTTGGGGGCTCTCTTGGGCCATATTGGGCCATCTTGAGGCCTCAGAAGCCCATTGGACGGTAAAACGCGAGAAGGCAACATTCATGGAGTTCCTTAAAATGTGTGAAGGATGTTGGACTCTTAGGGGGATCCTTGGGTGGCTTCGAAAGCACTCGGAACCGTTTTGTGGCCATCTTGGGGCCTCCTGGAGGAATGTCGGAAGCTATCTTGAACCATCTTCGGATACATTGAGCCATCTTGGAGCTTCGGAGGCCCTCTTGGAGCCATCTTCTGCGAAAAAGAACCCCCTGATAACTCTACCCCCCTCCCATCCAGACCCTTGGAGGGAGGCAGAGGGAGGGGTCAAGCGACCCACAAGCAACAAGCCGTCTTGCTCATACCCGCCCTCCCAACACATCAGTAGCACCCGAGTCTCAGCACGGACAGGGGCCAGCATCGACAACCATCAGGAACCAATGCAGACGACAGCCAGGTGCGCGAAGCCCGCGAGGTGCGCCACACATGCTAGCTGCGCCACGCACACCATGTGCGCAACATTGGGCAGTATGTCGACTCGTCCACCGCCCCTGTTAAAAACCAATGCAAAGTGTCGGCGGGTTTGTTGTGTGCGGGTGTGCGCTCACGATCGCTACGCATGTGTTTTTTAACAGGGATGGCGGGCCTGCGCACAGCAGGCAGTATGCCGCACCCCCCCCGGCAAACTGAGGCTAGTTGTTTTATGGTGGGCCGGCACAGCAGCCAGTATGATGGCATTCCCGCCATCCCCTTCAAAAACCAATGCAATGTGAGTGTGAGGCGTCCGCGCATGATCCAGATGTTGGTGCCAAGTGCATGCTACAGTGTTGTGTTCCCACACGTTCTGTGGTGATCTTGTTGTCTTCCCACCCGTTTCGCACCCACGTCTCCTCCTCACCCCTCATGATCCTTCCCGCTCGTACACTCATCAGGCATACGCGCACGTGCATAACACATGTGCATACACACCATCCCCGCAAGGACACCCCAGACGTATGAACCACATACTGGGCACCCACATGAGACGCACGGCCTCATACAGCCGCACAGCACACGACACACATACACACACAACACACACACACACCTAGATACAGGTACAGCCTCCCGCATCGTCCTTTTCGCTCGTCGCCATACCGCCGCACGCACACACGTACACACGTCATACAGATGATCCCGCACAACACATGACACACACACACACACACACACACACACACGCACAAACAACAGACTTGGATAATTGGCACAGCCATAGGATTCGCAGGCCGTGGAATGCATGGCATGTTCGCAGGGCGTGGCAGGTGGTGCACTTCCTCGACACCACACCGCAGGGGGTGCGCAGGGGGGGGGGAGGGGGCATGCGTGCCAGGGTCGCAGGGCGTGGCAGGCGTGGCACATGTTCCACACCGCAGGTGGTGCGCAGAGGGTGGGGTGGCTATGCGTGCCAGGGTCCCAGGATGTGGCAGGCGTGGCACGTTCTCCACACCGCAGGGGCAACACACAGGGTGGGGTCGCTATGCGCGCCAGGGTCTGAGGGCGTGGCAGGCGTGGCACATTCTCCACACCGCAGGGGGTGCGCAGGAGGTGGGGTCGCCATGCGTGCCAGGGTCGCAGGGTGTGGCAGGCGTGGCACGTTATCCACACCGCAGGGGGAAGGGGGGGTCGCTATGCGCGTCAGCATCCTAGGGTGTGGCAAGCGATGCACGTTTTCCAAACAGCAGAGGGTGCGCAGGGGATGGAGTCGCTATTCGCGCCAGTGTCCCAGGGCGTGGCAGGTGTGGCACATTCTCCACGCCGCAGGGGGTGCACAGGGGTGGGCTCGCTATGCGCGCCAGTGTCCCAGGACGCGGCAGACGTGGCACATTCTCCACCGCAGCGTTTTCTCCACAAGCGAAACGAGTTCTAGAGGAATGCCCCTTGTCCCAGGCTGGGTCTAGTCCCGAGCCCTCGACTCCACCGCGGGTTGCCGTAGCAGGGGCTTCTGCCGACAGGTCACTGGCGAGTGCTCCTGCCCCAGTAGACACCTTGGCTCCAGCTGGCTCTAAAGAGGCATTCGTTGCCTCGCTGTCCGTGCCTACCACCATGCCGCCCAAGCGTGTCATTGACGCACTGCCTCGCAGCTGAGGAATCCCATGACTGACATCGGCGCCGAAGTGTACAACGAACATGTGCGCAAGTGCGAAGCACATCTGGTGAAACACGCGTTTAATGCATACCATCGACAGCTAAAAAATTGGCGGCCTGATACGTTCCCCACCAGGTACAATGAGCTACTACATCAGGGGGGGCGGGGGGCGACGATGCCAGGAGGCAGTGCCTGGTGCGGTACTATCAAAAACATTTGTCCGGCGGGTTGCCCCCACACGTGCCGCGCATGCAGCGTGGAGAGCTCTCGTCGAAAAGCTGCGCCGCGCGATGGGAAACAACAGAGGAGGAGGGAAGGAGAGAGGTTCACGCAACGCTGCTTCGCGACTATTCCTTTCTTGCGCAGAGCATGGCAATAGTCGATCACATGCCCCCGCCAAGTTCGAACACAGCGGGGTGCAACATGCCATGACTACACAGGGCTTAAAACAGGCATGCGGGGCTCCCCGGTGGCGCAATTGCACAGGATGAGAAAGGGGGGCATCGCGCACAGCAGGCAATATGCCAGCGTCCCCGCCGCCCTTGAGAAAAAACCGTGCACAGTGATCGCGGGGCGTCGGCGCGTGACCCTGAGTTCGGTGAAAAGTTAATTTCGGATCCTTCTTTGCAAGGGATGGTGGGAACGTGTTGGCCGACGCGCAGCAAGCAATATGTTGCCCCCCCCCCGCCGCCCTGATCAAAAACCAACGCAAAGGGGTCACGGGGCGCTCGCGCATGCTCCATAGACGGAGGCACGGTGAATTGCGTGTTGTTGTTTGACAGGAATGGCGGTGAGTGGGCTTATGGCATGGGTCGGGGTTGGTTACCGGTCGGGTGGGGGAGGGGGTGCTTATTAATAGGGGGCAGCGGTAAACCTTTCCCCGGAGTGAAAGACAAAGGACCGTGGAAGAGGACAGCAAGAATTCGTTAGACCACCTACGTCTACAGGTTTGGCTGGAGTTCCCAACCAGTGCTTGCACTTAGGGCTTCGTGCTCACGCTCATTCAGGTCAGTGGGCGGGTGTGCCGGGTTTTCGCCTGGTGCCCGCCCCTGGGGGATCGTGAGCGCTTCGTGCGCTGTGTGGGTGTGCCGAGATTTCGCCTGGTACCCGCCCGTGGCGAGTCGTGGGCGACTTGTGCGCTGGGTGGGTGTACCGAGGTTTCGCCTGGTACCCGTCCGTGGGCGCCTCGTGGGCGCCTCGTGGGCGCCTTGTGCGCTGCGTGGGCGTGCCGAGGTTTCGTGTGGTGCTCGCCCGTGGGCGCATCGCGGGCATGCGCTGGGTGGGTGTTCCGAGGTTTCGCCTGGTGCCCGCCCGTGGGCGCCTCGTGGGCGACTCGCGCGCGGGGTGGTTGTGCCGAGGTTTTGCCTCGTGGGTTCCTCGCGGGCGCCGCACGGGCGCCTCGTAGGCGCCTCGTGGTCGCCTCGTGGCCGCCTCGTGTGCTGCGTGTGTGTTTGCATGTGTGTGGTGTGTTGTGCGTTGTGTGCTGTGTGTGTGTGTGTTGTGTGTGCGTTTGTGTGTGTTGTGTGTGTGTGTGCGTGTGTGCGTGCGTGCATGTGTGTGTGCGCGTGTGTGTGAGAGTGTGTGTGTGTGTGTCTGCGTGCGTTGTATTGTGTGCTTTGTGTATGATGGTTTGTTTGTTTGTGTGTTATGTTTTGTGTTGTGTTGTGCATGTTTTGTGTGATGTGTTGCGTGCATGTGTGTGAGTGGGTGTTTGTGTGCGTTGTGTTGTATGTGCTGTGCGTTATGTGTTGTGTATGCCGAGGTTCCGCCTGGTACCCGCCCGTAATTGCCCGTGGGCATTTCGTGGGCGCAATCGTGCGCTGGGTGGCCGCACTCGTGTCACCACAGAGTTTGGACCGCATCGCTGGCACCACATAGCCTACACAACATAGCTTACACAACACACACGCCTACACCACACAGATTACACACCATGTGTTGCACCTCAAAAGCTAAGCCGCATAGCTTTCACCTCTGCACTCGCACAGCGCACGTGGGGATTACACCACACTGTTTGCACCACATAGCTTACACCGCATAACTTGCACAGCAAAACTTACACCGCATAGCTGACACCACATACATCGCGTCAAATAAATGACGACTCATCCAGAGTGGAATAGCTTACTCGTTGGGACCCACGCTGGCAGATATGTGTTTTGAATTCGAAAGTACTGGGGCTGGCTCTAGCGTTTGAAAGTTTATCTTCAGGAGGCGTGTCGTGCGAGCCATCAGACAAGAACCTGCTGGGTCCGAACTCAGGACCAGGGGGCTCCAAATGAGAATTTGGGTTGCTTGGCGAACTGGGCCTGGGAACGCGCGGATGCAGTGCACGCGGAGGATGCGGCCCCCCCCCTTCCCCCAGGCAAATGAGGGAATGTGGTGCCAGGAGATGGGGATCCAATCTCACCCGCCCGGGGACCTGGAAGGGGTCGGCGAATTCTGCGGTGCCATGGGATGGTGAATGGCCAGAACACTTATAGGTGAATTCACTCGTAGGCGGTTGCCAGGCTGGGGCTTTGCATTGCACGCCGCGGGATTGCATATGTTGTGTTGCACGTGCGAGCAAGGAAATGTCAGCGTCGCGCACAAGGGAGAAGCGAGATGTGCGTGGCCTTCTATGAAGTCGGGTGGCCTCTAAGAAGGCAGGGGGCTTCTTGAAAGCCTTCCCAGTGCCCAAGAAGCCTCAGTAGAAGCCCACGGACATGTGTAAGAAGGCCATTCGTTTCTAAACACGTTTTCGTAGAAGACTACCCCTCTCACGCCGCCCACTTGTGCGCGCCGGCGAATAGTTCGACAAGAGCGTGTTAGATACTCAATCTTCTAGTGCCTTCCTCTTCCGAGGCATCTTCTCTACCCACTGCCGCTATGCAAGCATGTGGTCTCTGTCATGCTGGATGGCAGAAGGATGTGACAAGGCAAACTGGCAGCGAGGATACGAGGCGGAATCCATAGGATAGGGAGTGAGGAGAGATCTTTTCAATTTCATTAACAGTTGCCAATGGTCTTGCATGTGAAGTCTCTGCTTCGGCCTCATGCTAGTAGCTTGGGGACAAAGTAGACTTGTTTACATACACCATAACCCGCGCTGTTCCGGATAGGAGTGAGGGCGCGGGGGGTCCTCAGCAGTTTGTCAGGCTCGAGTTGGATAATCCAGCCGCAGTCGCCGATTTGGATGGGGCGTCGGCGGGTCGGCGGGCGAATCGCGCGGCGGGTCGCGGGTGGGATGCGGGTGGGTCACGGCGCAGTTCGCGGGTGGGTCGCGGGGCGGAGCCGGCCATGAGAACCCGGCAGTGAGAACATGAATCCACATTGCGGAACCGTTGTTCAGCTTCGCACCCAAAGACAGTGCAAGACCGCTCGGCCCCCTCATTCTCCGAGGATCGTGTTTCGAACAGGTCCTCTCCAACCACGCGGTTGTGTCCATTACCGAATGGGTAAGAAGGTCTGCATCGCATAGAATCATTGGGCATCAGAGCGCAGCACGGAGAACCCCCACGTTATGCCTGAAAGGTGGGGTCGTCGGTTGACGTGCCCAGGCTTTAGCAAGCTAGCTTCCGAAGGTCTTCACGATCTTGTTTGCGTGTCTGTTCGGCCTGTTGGCTCGCACACCCGATAAGTTGCGTCTGCGATGGTGTTGAACACATGGTGAAGCCTTCGTGCGCGGTCCTCGGGAGCAGTCGAGTGTTCTCTGGGTGGCTCGCGCTGCGCTGGCGGGCACGTGAGCGAGCCGTCATCCAACAGAAAGCCGACGTCGGACGAGTCCACCAGAGCGCGAAGATTGATGCTCGGCGTCGCAGCTTTGACCGCAGAATCTGCCACCTCCTGGTGAATGTGTAGAATATGTTCCTTGCAGTTGAGGTCCGATTTCTTCAATCATCCGACATGAGTTGGACATGCTCTTGATGCTTGGAAGCATCGGCCTTCCAGCCTATCCAGCTTGTCAAGTTCATCTCAAGTCTAACTCAGAGTGCGTGTGTGATGCACGAGGTTGGAGCGAAGCGGGCAGCTTCGGCTGTTGCTTGATGGCCAGGCTTTCTGGTTCGTTGAGTCAACGTTAGGCCGCCTCTGCCTGGCCCTGCTTGGTAGACGTGATCGCCAAGGCGTCCAACTCAGACTCTGAGGGGCCCTCCGCGATGATGGCGAGGGACTTGGGTTACGGAGGCTGCTGACCATTGTGCCCGCGATCGCCGAAACCGAGCGCATTTCCCACGAACCTTGCAGAATAGGAATCAGGAAGAGTTTTGTTGCGAGGACCAGTCAATGAAGGACACCCGTCCTCGATGGCCAGGTGGTCAAGGGAAGCGTTGTCATTGGAGGCTTTCACCAGCCCAGGACGCATCAGAAAATTTGCTCACCAAGCCGTTCCGCTCTGGCACCATCCTGCCCCCCAGGGCGCGACCACTGCGACAGACGCATGATGTGATGGGATCTCCGAGCCTTCCTTGGCTCCTTCGACTCGGTTGCACAGTGAGCCGTGTTGAAGTTCAAGCCGCAAGCCGCCAAGACCGCGCGCGCCGTAAGCCAGTCCCAGAGCCGCCAGGCGGGAGTGAGGTATGTGGAAGGGGCGGAAGGCGGAAAAAGGGGGGAAGGAGGAGGGAGGAGTCGTTCGGCTTTTTGGAGTTTTTGCATGTCTCGATGGCTGGGTTGTGAGCGTGTCTTCACCCGCTGCTCGCACCTGACGGGGTGGACAAGAGCAGAATACAAGAAACGGGGACAGGGTATGGCATGTATCCGCCTCCCTCATCGTGCCGCCTCCTCGTCCGCCTCGTCTTCGTTCTTGCTTGGTCGCTCTTCCATTCCTGCTCCTCCTACCCCCTCTCCTCCTTCCACCTCCTCCAAGTCCTTCCCTTCTCCCGGCGGTGCTGGCGACCAGAAAAAAACAAATGCGTCCGATTCGATGTCAATTGACCACCCGCGTTCGACGAAGAGGCGTGGTGTAGTCTCGCGGCAAAAGCCGCAAAAACGTATTCAACCATAGACGATGAAACATAGAACCAAGTCGTTCAAGGGGCAGAGATGGTCTGGCTTCATCGCGCAGCCGTCTGGCCCAGCTGGCAGCCTGGAGCAATGCTCACTGCCGGCGCCGCTGCGGGCCCTGCCGCCACGCCCGACCTGCAGCAGGAGGTGGAGGGGCTCGTGGCCGCCAGGTCCACGATGCGGGAGACAGCACTGTCAGGATCGGTTGCTTGGCGCTTCGCTCTGCCACTTCTGTACCAACGCGCTTCGGCGCGACACGCCAAGCACGTCCCAGTCCCAGGCATCAGCGTCCCCAGCTTTTCCCAGCCTCCCGCCCCATCAGCTTGCAAGGCATAGCGTGTGGCAGGGGCCGCCGCCGCGACACGCTAAGCAAACGCTCCCGACCGTATACCATCGTACGTACGTGGACGTTGAACAATAATTATGTCTACCCCTCATCATCAGCAGCAGCAGCAGCATCATCATCATCATCGTCATCATCATCACCATCATCATCATCATCATCATCAGCAGCAGCATCAGCATCAGCATCAGCAGCATCATCATCAAAATCATCAGCAGCATCATCACCATCATCAGCATCGACATCGTCATCATTGTCAGCATCATCCTCATCATCATGAGCATCATCATCATCAGCATCATCGTCAGCATCATCATCTGCATAATCAGTATCACCATCACAATCGTCATCATCAGCATCGCCATCATATGTACCACCATCAGTGAAATCAGCGACATCTTCATCACCAGCATTATCATCATCCTTATCATCATCAGCAGCATCATCACCATCATTATCATCACCATCGTCATCACAATCATAATCATAATACTCATCATCACAATCATGAGAACCATCATCATCATCAGCACCATCATCATAATCATTATCATCAGCATCATCAGCAGCATCGTCATCGTCGTCGTCATCATCAGCATCATCATCATCGTCATCATTATCGCCATCATCGCCACCGCCGTCGTCGTACTGATCGCATGTGATCGCCTTCGCCTGCGCACCCATCCAGCAGGCACCACCCGGGTTATCTGACACACCCCGGCGTGCCGAGGGCGCCAATGGCGGAGGCGGACCGCTCCACCCCCCCCTCCGTCGACCTACACCACGGGCGGCACGAGCTGTTCGGCGTTTGTCCAGGTGCGTCCGCATCGCAGTGGGGTGAGCACGATCTCCTTTCGGATGTCTCTTGCGCCCGATCTGGTGGCGTGTTCCACTCTTGTCCTGCCACTATTCTCCTCACCCTCTTCTCCCTCCTTCCCCCCTCACCCCCACATTGCACGTCCCGGACGGGGCTAGGATGAGGATAAATCCGTTCCAGAGCGTTCTGGAACGCTCTTAGAGCGTTCTGTAAAGCTATGAGAAGGCCACGGCGCCCGAGAGATCGACCAGAGCCGCCGCATCTGAGAGATTATTGATTTATTCTCACCCGATTGTATCCTCGTCATGGTTTCGTCTTAACGTCTTGCTCCGCGTCCCCCCTCGCCCCCCTCCCCACTTCCTCCCCATTCCCCCAATCGCGTCCGCGCTCCTTCCCACTCTTCTCGGCTCCTCCCATTTCTCCCCATGTCTCCCCACTCCCCCCAACTTCTGTTATCCCTTTCCATTCCCCACCAGTCCTGCCGACTCCACTCCATTATATTTACTAACTATTACTCATTTCCTCGCTGTCTTCCCCGCACTCAACTCCACTTCTTCCACTCCCCGCACTCCTCTCCCGCTTCTTCTCACTTCTACGGACTCCTGTCCACTCCACTACACTCCCCTGGTCCTCCAGATTCCCCTGCACTCCTCCGCAGTCCTCCACTCTCCATCCTACTCCTCATTGATCCAAACTTCTTCCCACTCAATTCCACTACGCACTTCCACTCTTCCACACTCCTCTCCAGTCCTCCGTATTCCTCGCCAGTCCACCGCTCCGCTACATTCCACTCACGGATGCGTACAGGTTCATGCTAGCCAGGACCGAAAGATCAGGCGCAGCAGCTCGAAAATAAGTTAGGAGAAAAATGAGAGGAGGATGAGGATATAAAAAACACGTGCAGGGATGTCCTTGCGACGTGCGGGTTGGTGGCAGCAAAGACCTCGTCTGTCACGGGGACATGCGAAAAGCGGAAAGTAATAGCAGATGGGGGAGGAGAGGAGCATGCGTCAGCAATGCGCACGGACTTTGGAAGACAGTTCGTACGCTTGCGTCATGTGTGATTCGTGTTAGTTCCCGACATGTCATGAAGAAGATGATCCTCCCTGCTCCGACTCCTCCTCCCTCCTCCTCCTCCTCCTCCTCCTCCTCCTCCTGCTCCCCATCGGCCCCTCCGCCTTGGAGAATTGTCGGGTCAGCCCCCCCCCACCTCCCCTCCTTTCCTCGGCATGCTGCTGATTCGCGTAAAAAGTTTTGAAACAGCGGGTAAGACCCTCGTGGCGGTATTTTACTGTTGCTGCCCTTCAGAGCTCGAAAAGCGAGGGCGAAGAGGAGGGGGTCAGCGCTTTGCTTAGGATATGCCTGGCACGTGCAAGTGCAGCAGCGACGATGTGGTACGTCATAAGAGCTGCCACTGCACCCACACATGCTCCGCCCTGTGCCGTGGCATGCTGCCGCTGCA